ACCCACCAACCCACCAACCCACCTACAAACCCATCAACCCACCCACCAACCCACCAACCCACGACCATCCAAATAATTAACCAACCAACCAACCAACGACCATCCAAACAATCAACAACTCAAACAGTATTTTCGTTATGTCTGCGATAAAAACAAAAAAGACTTACTTCAACTTTGTACTTGATATTTGGCAGAAGATCTACTAAATCAAAGGATGTAGCTGTCTAAAAATAAAGATATTTAATAAATGAAACTGTTCTCCATAGGCTTTAATAGTTAACCATCAATATGCCATCCCGCTCACCATTGTAAATACCAATAAAAAGGCTTTGCACCACGTGATGACAGCCATGACAAGAGGCAGAGCATGACAAGATCTGATTTCTAATCTGACTTACGTTAGAAAGGATTCAGTTTCCCAGGGGGAAAAGACTCTATTGTTGTGCCCCCTGTCATGGTTGTCATCACGCTCATATTACTTAGATGAAACTGTAAACTTACAATGCCAGTCTTTCGGTATTCCGGATTCCAAGGTTTGGAAGATATAAAATCATGAACTTTGTTCACATCTCCGTAATTGAGATTATAGTTTTCAGCTCGGGCGTATGAATAGGTTGGAGGTAACCACGTGACGTTCAGCCGGAAGCGGAAGTCGGGTTGAGTCTGGAAATCTCTGTGTGTTAAGTTACCAACAGTTCTGGAGCTGTCTGGTGTTGGTGGTGGATCAACTATTACAAAACCAGGATAGGCTTCAGAAGTGAAGATTACTTCTAATGACGTCATGAGAAGCGTTCTTTCGAAGCGCGGGAAAGCGTGGGTGGCGGAGAGGTTAGATTGCTTGCCTCTCACCAACGCGAACCCGGGTTTATTTCCCGGATTCGGTGTGGCATGTGTGTAGAGTTGCTTGTTGGTTCTCTACTGTGCTTTGAGGGTTTTTCTCTAGGTTCTACGACTTTCCGCCTTCAGGTGCTACCCTTAAAAAAGCTAGAACTGCGGTGACGTTATGACATTTGCATTTCACGACCTAGAATACGGTTCTTATGGGAAGCACGGCCGGCGTAGCGGTGAGAGCGCTCGCCTCTCACCAATGCGACCCGGGTTCGAGTCCCGCTGAGCTCGGTGTCGTATGTGAGTAGAGTTGTTTGTTGGTTCTCTCCTGTGCTTCGAGGATTTTCCGAGTTCTCGGGTCTTCCTCCCTCCACAAAAATCAACTTCTAAATTCCAATTGGAATTACAGTGGATGAAGAGCCACTCTGTGGAAATGCCACTGATAAATCCTATTTATTTATTTATTTATTTATTTATTTATTTCTTCAATTTCTTAACGATGTTAATACTTACACTTGTTACAAAGTGCTCTATCAAAAGTGGGTATGTTCTGACAGCCTGTTGAAATATAGGTATCAATAAACCAGTTGTTTATGGGTCGTGCGTCAACCATTTTGTGAGCTTCTTGTGTTAATAACTGACGAAAGTCTTAACTTCTAACACACTTGACAAAAACTATATGCTTATACACCGAATCGAAATATGGCGACCAATTCGAATAACTATTGTTTTGGACTGACTAACCTCGTGTTCACGTGAGGCTAGAAACTTCAGTCCACAACGATCTTTATTCAAGTTGGTAGCCATATTTCGATTTCGATATCAACGTTATCTTGAGGTCGATTTACACGGTATGATTTCCCCCCACAACTACCGCGCGCAAAATGCTGACGACACGAATTACGCCATACAATCGTCCTTGCAACTTGCTTACGACTGTAAATGGCAGCTAAAACTTGGCGTAAGCATGTTGCGCGAGGCATATCGCGCGCAACAGTTACTGTCATTACCTGGATACTTGTAGTTCAAGGTTTTAATAGAACCAGTTACGCACTCSACTTGCTGGTACACCTAAAATACCAAACGATAATGTTAAGGCCTGATTCACTCTTGCAATACAACTGGTTTTTACTTACCTCAAACGAATGTTGACATGGATACAATTCTTCATAAAGTCCAAGAGTAACTTTAGAAATATCCTGCGTTTATAAAAGTCAGATTCATTATCAACCAATTTTGGAAGGCATGCTGAGAAATGATCCATACACCTTAGGCAAAATGTTTTCCAATTTCAGACCACGTGGTATACTCTTGGGGATAAGGTGTGTTGTTGATTCAGGATCCCCCCTTAGAAACCTAACGCTGGTTCTGCTAACCCTTACCCGAACCTTATGCATGAGCAACCTGTTTTAAAACATGCTCGCGTCATAATCCTGGCGTCGCTGTCATGGAATAACTTAAGTAGATCTTGGGGGATTTAATTCATTATTGTTATCAGGTGTTAAATCACTTAGTAATATTAATCCTTTGCCCATATTTAGAGATCTTTGTCTATAGGCAGTTTGTTAGCTTAGTATTGTTCCTGAAATACTTATATACGCCTTTTCATAACAAATGCGGGGAAGAAAGCATTCAGTAGTGGTGAGCTGTGTAACGAAACACAGCGCGGTTGGTACAAGTAAACTGAGAAGAAAACGGAAGTCCAAGGAAGCAACTCACACAGAGTTTCACTAGAAAAGATCGTATTGAAGCAGTTGAGAAGATAAAGTTGAGAAAGAAAAACCTTTGAAAGACAACCTCAGCAGAAGGCTTGGGAAAAGGTTATTTGGTAAAGATAAAGAAAGAAAGAACTGAACTAGTATCGCAGAGAGGAATTAAGTTGAGAAGAACATTGTACTAAACAATAACGACAACCGCTTGGGAATGAGAGACTTTACAGAAGCTTTGAAAACCAAAAAGTAAGCATGATAAAATAAGGAACACTATTCCACCACGTTAGCTTATTTAGGTAGATATTTCTAAAGAATCCAAAGTTTAAACATTAGGAATACAAACTTTACAAGATATTTAATGAGTTGCGTGATCTTAAAAACTTCACATCATTATTATTATATTATCATTTCCAAGTCTATGAATAAGTTACCAATCAAGTGGTATTCGGTTAACAGTTTATTTAAGTTATCTAATTTATCTAAGAAAATACACGTTATTAATTTTCAAAATCAGAGTGGAAAATAGCTTTAGGATAATCGATAATAAAAGTGGTTGTGATACATGCGTTTTTGGGGAAGGCTTTTAAAAGGTATGTTGGCATAACCAGGGTGACACCCAACTGTTCGGTAACAGTCGCCGTCCTCGATGCTTGACGATAGAAGTAAAATCTTGTTCCGTGAACAAATAAAGAGTACTACGAGGCAATTTTCTTTTACTTTCAAAGAACAGTAAACAATAGAAACAATTTATAATCAGTTTTCTGCGATATTTTAACTAATTTGTTGAGCTTGTGAGACATAGCAACGGTAACTACGGGGAGCGGAACCATGATTTCACGTCCTTGTTAATTAATTTTTTCCAAAACGTTAAGCAAAAAAATAATCCTCAAGGGAACGAAAGGTGATTTGTCATGGGAAAACATTTCGCCCAAGCTGAATGGGTTTGTCAGGTACCTTGATTTTATTAATTATTCTTGGAATAACTGAAATTCTCTGGCAGGAGAAATCCCTCACTTGCCATCTGATGCCGTAATTGGTAGCCAAGCTTGATAGATCTATGAGAAGAAAAAATATTAATACGACTCTATATATCTATACAATATGTATTTTGCTTTTCAAACAGCCTAAGAACTTGTCTTCTCAAAAAGTATCTGATTGCAGGGACACCACATAAAACCTCTATTAAGATCTGCCGTATTACAGTCTTTCCGCAGAGAGCCTATGGTGAAATTTACAGCAATACTCAAGTAAAACAAGGTCGTGATGTTACCTGACGGGATAATGGATGTAGTTAGTTTGAGCTTATTGACGCTAGAGTTCTTTTCGTATGTGAACACAGGAAAACTGATGTAGTTTACTCGGCCAGGTTTTGTCATCTCTGATGAAAAAATAGACATTAAAATAATTAATAAATGAAATTTAAAAATACATGAAGCTTGCGAGGAAAGAGTAATGTTTTTGGGTGGTGACATAAAAAGTCTCAAAAGTCGTTAATTGTTTGACTGTCATAGTCTATCAGTGATGGTGGCTAGAAACCAAGCATATGTTTTTGCTATCCAAAATCCAATAGTGTTTTGCAATTATAAAAAAATCTAATCTTGAATTTGTTGCAAAATTTCAGCACAGAATTACTACTCATGAATATCAAAATAAAAAATGGAAGTATAAAAGCTACAAAATCGCCGTAAGAAACGTTTTTCGATCCGCACGATCCATTCAATTGAAGTCCAGTCCAGTCCATCAATGCACAGTTCCTGATTTTCCAAAATAAAAAATCTCTCAAAAATCAGTATTTAGAAGCATAAATCAAAATTTAGAGGTTGACTATGTTTTTCCTACACTTTGAATTTATCCATATCCTTTCAAAAAGTGAGAATTGGAAGAATTTTTTTGGGATCACGGATCCAGTCAACCGACGTCAAGTCTACATGTTTTCGTATTTTCAAAATAAAAGATATCTCAAAATGCATAATTCACAAACAAAAATCAAATCAAGTTTTACAGTTTTAGCATCGTTTTGCTACAGGCAAAAACTTATTATTGAAGAAATAGGCTGTGTATGACTTCACACAGCAGCGCAAGAAAGTTTTTTATTTCTCTTATAAAATACAAAATTACGATAACCGTTATTTCCGATAATAAAGCAACTGAAGTGCGCGCGCGTGCTTTATGAGAGCACACAGCACGCGCTCCCAACCAATCAGAACGCGAGATTTATAACAGTTATTTTATAAACCCCCTTAAAACGAAATATTCATTTACCGAACAGAACACTCAATAGATCTTGGTAACACATGAAAGTCTCTAATATAAAGTACTAAAGTGTTTGACTGTTGGTGGATGATCATACAAGAAGCAAGGCAATTCAATGCATCTACAATACTTCACGGTTTTTCTAAAATATAAGTATTTACCAGAAGGGGAAAAAAGGTTCAATGTAACTGCTTACCAATAGCTTGTGATCGCGGCCCCTCAACGAGGGTGCTATTCTCCGTCAGTGCAACTACAGTGAAGTAAAATGAAATGGGTTTCGGCCAGATAGTTGGGTCGGAAGTCACAGACTGACATACTTGCTTGGTGGTTAATACTGCAGAAGGTTCAGTAAAAACCATCTGAAAATTATCAAACATGATGCATGAATCAATAAAATAACATAACGTAAAAAATTAAGATTAGGTCCCAAAACCGACCTTTGGGGTATCCCTAAATATGTAAACAAACTTCAGTGGAAGCTGTCCCTAAAATTTTAAAGAAAAAATCAAAGTAGGATTCTAAATGAGAGGATAGCAATACTCTTTTTAAACTTTAAGTTTCAAAATGTTCGCGAATAATAAAGATGCTGATGATACATTATCCGTCATATTTCATTTAATCACTTACCATATATTCGTTGGTGTTTATGTAATCACCTACAGCTTTCTTTTTAAGTAAATAAACAACCCCACCACTGACGTTCTGAATACCAGGTTGCCATGACAGCGTCAATGACGTCACGTTTTTATTTAATGCCGTGGGAGCCAGTGGCTTTTGGATGGGACTGCCATCACCCTTGAGGACATTGTCCCATTTCTTGATGGTCTGGTTAATATATTTACAGCTTTGCTGACAGATGCTAGAGTTGTGCTAAAAGAAAGAAATTTTTTGTGTTAAGTCTAAATTGATTATTACGTTAAGGTTGGCTCGGGATTCTAGGTATACTCACACATGACGCATTGATGCACTCAGACAAAGAAGAAGAAATCCTTTCGCAAGCAGTGCCGCACTAAAATAAAAATAAAAAACCATAATCAAATCACTATATTGTTGACATCCCTCGATGTTACGACCAACAGAAAAAATTGTCGTAAACCCATTTCCGTTGATTATTTTTATTCAGTCTTTCATAAGATCATTTAAATAATCTTTTTTCAATAAGCCAACTTTTTAAGAAACTTCAGAAGAAAAAACCTGCAGCAAAGAATAAATCATTCGTTCATCCTTAAAAATGAGACTGATATATCAAACTTTTTCTTTTGCTTTGAATGTTCTTTATCAGTGGTTTGAATTTAGGCTGGAAAACAGACGCGTTCGCCTCTCAAGTTGACGCATGCGTTTATGTATACTTCTAGTTCCCACACCAGATACATAAACTTCATGCTAGCTTGTTAATTATTATTTGTTTATTCATCAAATTATTAAAGACATTTTAAAATCAATATAAGATTTTAACGATTAGTGAAAAAGTTGAAAAACGTCCGTCCACTAAATCCATATAATTCCTTTGTAGTTTTTATGATTATTATTACATCTAGAATTGGCTCAAGATTTAAAGACGTGTTTGAATTCCGAGTTTCTTTTATTGATTTTTTCGTGAATGAAGAATTGATTTGAAAATTGCCTAATCCAATTTGCTTCATAAATAACGCAAACAACTAATAGTTTTGAATTTAAAGGAGTACAAACATTTTATATACATAAATATACTACATCCCAATATCTATGTCATTATACTTCGTAACGACGACCTTGACTTAAACCACTGACCTGGCGACAGTCGTCACTATGGCAACCAACATTAGAAGATCCTGAATTATACAACTGTAGGGAACAAAGAGAAAAAACAGAAAAACACAACAGTTAAGACGATTATAAGCTGTGATGGCTAGAAAATTAAGTATATATATATATTTACTGTTCAGATGCACCAACTTTTATTTGAAAGATAGGTTGAAATACAAAGACAACGACGGACAAAGGAAACGCATGAATGTAGAAAACATGTTTGCTAATTCTCATTCAAAAATCTAGCTATTGCAGCAGTCAACATGACTACATGCTAATAGCATGAAGGCGACCCCGATATTTGTTTAGGCCCTAGTGTGCTTCAGGTAAGGTAATAGTAGGGCCACCATACTTCCATGTAAACAGATCTCCTGCAATGAAAAAAACTATTTTTCTCACCCGTGATTGAAACATTATATTTGGATTTAATAAAACATATTCAGTCACTTTGGGTTTGTTTGCTTTGCTTTGTTTGTTTATAAGTTTTCATTTATTTTTCAAAAAGGACTTTATTTATTGAAATGGTGATAGCAGTTAGTGCTAATTTTTATTGCAATATTAACTGAAATTAAATTAGAACATCTAAAAGTTTTAGTTCTTAAAATTTATCCCTGGGGCATCCCGTAGCATTTATATTTAGATCCTGATATTGATGTTGGAGACACTTTTTCCTTTTGATAATGAATCAGTTTAGTTCCCATGCAATATTGAACATGTTGATTTAGTTGACATATTAATGTATGGGGTCTTGCCATAAGTTGACAGAATTGTCTACCCGTAGATCCAAACTACTGCAAAACAGGAAATCTAAAAACCACAGCTTTTAAACAATCTATTTTATCCATATTATTGGTGTAAATCAGCTGCGGTCACTTATAAGACAAGTAGATGTTTTTCAATGACCGTATAATCAACACATTAACATCTTATATCAGGATATCAAAATATCATTTAGGTCCCAAAAGCGATCATTGAGGGACTCCTTACGAAATGAATTTCAGAAATAAACAGAAGTTTCAATTTTAAGGATAAGACTTTTGAGTTGTCAAGGAAACAAAAATACTTCTGAAGGAATTTTTTTTATTTGTATTAAGGAAACCTGGAGGTAAAAAATTATGAGTTATTGAATAAGCAAGTTGTTTGTATTTACCGACAATCGGATCAGCTGGTCGATAARATAATAAAACATTTCACAAAAATCCCCAATAATGCAATGTATCCTTTATAAGAACGCACTAATAAATGTTATGATCAATGTTCTTTCTTCAAACCAGATTTTCTTTTCTTTTCTTTTCGCTGAGTAGATTAATTTTTTTTTCGGAAAGAAGAAAGAACTTTTAATAATACTTATTGCAATTATCATACGACAACGATAACATTGTTTTCCCCTCGGTAGAACCTATGTTATTAATTCATACGGCTACCGACTGAAATTTAAACCAAGACTGGGTAAAAGCACAATCCAAGATTGAATAAAACAAATAAACTTAATCCAATCAAACAAAAACAAAAAAAAAAAAAAAAAAGACATTGCATTTCCTTCCGATGAAGCTAGAAACAAAGTTACGGTTTTTGATATCAAAGGATGAACAATCCTAAACCTTTTCGTTTTACCTATTATGCCAACTTTTTGGAATAAAAATATCTAATTTGCCATTACATTGTAATTTATATTCCAAAATGTAGCCAGTTTCAATGGGTCAATTATGAAATTAAAATTTTACAACTTTTCTTCCAAAAGTGCCAAAAGAGTCCTTCCCAACTTCTTTCGATTGGATGCAAGACCCGCAAAAAATGCTTCACATTTCCACGAGGAAAAAGGTTTATCGATTTCTGTCTATTTAGATATTGACCTACTTTTCAAAATGAAGTAAGGTAAAGCCATGGTATAGACGTCCTGGCTTTAGTTTTCTTTGTTATTTATTTATTAATGAATATAGGTCAATATTCAGAGAAATTCCAAGGATCCACCATATTCACTTTGTTACTGAAAATTAATTAAAAATTATATGCAGCAGGCTCAGCAGGCTTGTCTCTTTAGAGGTTCTCTGTAATTAATAGTGTATACCAAATAATTTGACGGATGCTAATATTTTATCCAATTGAGTGTATCCACTTTCTTTATCTTCTTCGTAGATGACCGCAGTGCTTTTATCGTTGAATGGTCAACTGCACATATAATTATTGTACACTATGAATATCGTTGAATTAGACCTATTTAATAGGATGCCGGCGGGATGTCATTTCAAATCAGATAAAAAGATATGAAATAATAGACTTTTTTGTTGTATTGAAGCATAAAACGATAAACAAAGCAACGATGTTAGGGTATTTTGTTCGTTCATTGCTATTACTGCTGTTCTTGCTTGTTGTAGAAGTAGTAGTTTTTGTTGTTGCTGCTGCTGTTGTTGTTGTAGGATAAGTTTTTGTTGTGGCTGCTTGTTGTTGTTGTAGTAGTAGTTTTTTGTTGTGGCTGCTTGTTGTTGTTGTTGTAGTAGTTTTTGTTGTGGCTGCTTGTTGTTGTTGTTGTAGTAGTTTTTGTTGTGGCTGCTTGTTGTTGTTGTAGTAGTAGTTTTTGTTGTGGCTGCTTGTTGTTGTTGTAGTAGTAGTTTTTGCTGTTGCTGCTGTTGTTGTTGTAGTAGTAGCAGTTTTTGTTGTGGCTGCTTGTAGTTGTTGTTGTAGTAGTTTTTGTTGTTGCTGCTGTTGTTGTTGCTGCTGTTGTTGTTGTAGCAGTAGTTTTTGTTGTGGCTGCTTGTTGTTGTTGTTGTAGTTTGTGTTGTTGCTGCTGTTGTTGTTGTTGTAGTAGTTTTTGTTGTTGCTGCTGTTGTTGTTGTAGCTTTTATTATCGTTGGTGCTGCCCCTTTTTATTGTTGTTGGTGGTGGTGTGGAAATAATGATGGTGTTTATTCATTTTGTTTTTTTTCTCTTCTTCTTATCGATTGTGCTACAGCTGGTCATGGTTGTAATTGTTGTTGCTTCGTCGAAGTTTTTGTGGCAGTTGTTGTTATTTCTGAATGTCATTTGTTGTGGTGGTGGTGATGGTCAGTATTGAGTTTTCTGTTCTTATAGGAATTTGTCTAGTTTTCTTCTAAGTTTTTTCGCATTTATAATATTGCTGTTGTTTGAGCTTCTTCATCTACAGTCGTTGGTACTACCTTGTTGGGTTTTTCAGCACGTTTTTGTTGTTGTTATTATTGCTGTTGTTGTTTTTTTCTGTCGTTGTTGATAGTGGTGGCCTTCTGTTATAGGTGTTGCCTATGACTTTCTTCAATTCTTCCGGCGTCAATCACTAGCTATTGCAGCAACCAACATGACTACCAATAGTATAAAGCCTAGAAGTTCTAGTTCATGCATAGTTTAAGCCATGATTATTTAGCACTAAATATTTTGAATAAAATATGCTTGAATTTAACTTACAGTTCTACCTTACACCTCCTTCAGCATTATCGTTAATCAGTTACACTCTTGGGTCATTGCTCTCGTAACATAGAAACAAAATCAAAACATCCAGAGAAAACCGCAAATAAACGCAATTTGAGGAAATGTCCTGTAGTGATTGCTGTGGAGTTTAGTTTAATATTTTTCAATAAATACTAAAATATTGAAAGGGATTATTGCAATTTTCAAGTTACAATCTTACAATCTCAAAAAGGAAATCCAATTAGGAAAGCACTTAAGGAACTAGTGGAAGTCATGCAGGAAATAATTTATTAAAACCGTCGGTTCTTATATGTATTTTATGAAGGTGGCGAAGACTAGTCGAAGTGTTAGATGAATTCACTGTACCCAAGGGTGGATTAAAAGTCAACAAGCAATAATACAAAGAGACAAACATGAAAACAAAAACAAGGAAACAAGGAAGGAAACACAACTAAACGAACTAGAAAATGTACAAGTAAACGAGAAACCATAAAACAAATCGAAATGAACTGAAGGAGGCAAGATGAAAAATAGTTGTTGTAAAAATGAAACACTTATAATTTTGGCAATTTTTACGACATTTTACAGAAAACAAATATCCGTAGAAGACTAATTTAAATCCCTATTCTAGCCTGCCATTCCATTCTGCTATAAATACGTTTATTTGTATACTATTTAGCGCTGTTTTTGAAGTAAAAAAATGAGAATTACAGCGGCTGACAAGTTCTAGGGGTAAAGTTGCGATTCTTCCATTTCATTAGACTGAAAAGGAGACAAGAAGTGACTAAAATAGAGCTAATGAAAGGAACTTCTCGTGGGAGTTGAATTGGTAGATTAACTGGGTCTTATCACTACAAAAATAAGTGATATGTGTTATTAAGTGATTATGTCAGGTTATAAGAACAGATCTGCCATAATCAAGTCCTCGAGGAAAATTACCAAAAAATTTTACAGATGTTTCATTATCGGCGTTTTCGATTTTTTTTGAAGTAAAATAATCTGAATTCTAGAATCTGAAAATAGGGTATTCATATTCAAGTATTCAACTAGCGTATTGAGCTAGTCATTTCGTAAGCTACAGGTAATCCCCGCCAAAAATAACACATAGTAGTTCGTTTGGGTAAACTAGTTCTTTTGCGAACGTGCATCACCAACGTGGTATATTTGTTAATCTACCAGTTGACTCACCACTATGTTAGGTGTGTTGTGAGCCAGGTGCAATCGAGAGAGGCACTCACTTCTCCTCACCTATCACCTGTAATAACTTCTATTTGAATACCGCGTTTGAGGAACTCCATGTTCAAAAGGAATATATACTATAGAACTACTTAGAAATATTTTTACAGACGTAAAACGGGTTGAAGATGAAGGAGTTTGAGAGTAAAATAATCTTGTAGAAGTAGGACAAATACAGCTAAATTTGACGATAATGAAACAAAAGCAAGTAAGATTTAGAATCATAGAATGATAATAGGAAGGCTAAATATGAAATTACTATATGGCAAGGTGAAATTTCGACGTTCGCACCAGGATACAAAAGAGTCAAGATTTTTCTAGTTGGGTACTGAACTAATGTGATTTGAAGACACAAGTGAGATTATCTAACAGTAGCAATAGAAAGTATTGCATTATCTCATAATAAAAGTACAAATATCAATCTGTTGTACTTACTGTCAGGCAATGAGCATAGCATCGTGCCTTTTCGACTGCTTGTTTATCACGAAAAACGACTTGAGCAACCCCAGTGAAGAAGAAGATAGGAAGCACCACCGTGATACAGCAGGTTGCAGTTAAAGGTACGGCCTTCATCCCGCTCGGACTAGAGTGTTTACTAAGARAAAACCTTATAGAAAAAATATCTGTCGAGAAAGAAAAGAAAATAATGACACTTGGAGCTGGTTATTTGCACAGTGTATTAATTGGAAAACTGTGCCGAGAAGGAATATTTGAATAAGATCCTTAGTGTCACCTTCAAAACCCGTTAGGACGCCGCGCAGGTAAATTGTAATGTTAAAGAATTGTCTAGAGTAGGATAACTTCATAGATGGTTATTTTTCAATATCTGACGGCGAAGGTGGTACTTACCTTGATTTGCAAGTTTTAAATCTKAATTATTAATTTTTGCTTTCTTCAGGCAAAAACAAAAGTCTAGTTACCACAAAAATAGGTTTTAGCAGCTTTGCTGATCAAAGCTATGAGAACGAAAATTAAAGCAAAACGTTTAGATTCTTACCACAAAGACTTGACGAAGCTCAGTGATGAAAACTATTTGTTTCGCCTACGATGGTTAGTCTTGTTCTAAAAATAAAATTGTCCAAGATTAGCGACAATGCTTTAACCTATTTTTGTTTACCGAGAAAGCGCTACCGAATCTTTGTCACCTTGGTCGGTGGTAGTATTAATATATAATATAATATAATATGCTGTAAGGCTGCGTTCATAATGTATGGAAGAGGGGGGCAGGTGAAATTTAGAGGGGATCGGGAAAATTTTGGTAGGAAAAGGGGGAGATGGGAAAATTTTTATAAGAAAAATGGGGGAAGAGGGATGCACAATTTTTGGAAGAAGCTACGAGCCTTGCTTAGTGGGGATCGTATTTTTTTGTTAAGAATTATTCTGGACATTTCAAATTTTCACCTGCCCCCCTCAGCCATACATTATGAACGCAGCCTAACGGTGAATGGATTAACATATTAATCGGAATGATAATTATAACGATAATGATAATGATAATGATAATGATAATGATAATATTAAAAGTGTAGATTTTTTAAGAAAATAAAAAATAAAACAATACAACATACAATATTTACATGATGAGATCAGATTAAGTCAAACCAAGAAATGTAAGTTAGAAAAAGATGATTAATTGTTTTCTGAAAAGAAGTACGTAGAACTTCTGGTAATAGGTATACTCCTGATGACTGATAGTTTGGAACTTTTCGTTCATCTGCCTTTTTGCTAAGTTTGGTTATTTAGACTTGCTTGCTGTTGTATAATAGAGTGTTTTTTTTATAAACCCGTGAAATACACTTTTGCTTATTTAGTACTATTACACTCTAATTCTTTTGTTTTCTAT